TTGAAATGTTGAATAAGTTATTGTTTTAGAAAAAAAGACAAATAAAAAAAATCTTGTTTTTTTTTCTTCTCAAATATTTACGTGTTTTTAAGGTTTGACTAACACGAATTTATTCTATGGATCGAATTTGAATTGAAATTAATAATTGATCAACGTCAAATAAATTTGAATATTTAAGTATAATTTCAAGTATTTCCAATGAACTTTATACAAAATTATGATGATGATGATGTTGTAAACAAATATAACATACCATATCAACACACTAAAAAAAAAAGATTTACATTGAAAAAAAAATCATTCATTATTTGTCGAATACTGATTGAAAAATGTTGTTAATTTGTATCAATATTTTTACTTCTATTTCTTGACTGTTGATTATTACTTGATAATGATTGAAATTCTTAGATATTTAAACCAAGTAATTGAATAGAAATTTTTATTAAACCAAGATAATCAATTATTAAACCTGTACTAGCATTTTGATTATGATGTTCAAATAATTGATCTGTTAAAATAAAAAATAATTATAAGGAATTGAATTTATTATTTGAAAGAAAACTTATTAATTGTATTCGCCATTATAAAACGTGCTCTAATTATGAGATAACATATTTGTTCAATAGGGCATCAGAAGTTCCTAAGAATAATTTAATAATTGATTATATGTTTCAAAAGAAAATTATTTATTATTAATATTAGGAAAAAAGAAAAGAAAAATTCGTTTTCACTCGACTTCATATTTTAACTATAATGATAGCCAGTGAACTACTGTGACTAAACTATTTAATTTCTTATTGATATGTAGTGATAAATAAAATTTTATTATTCTTAAGTTGCATGAAACTCTACGCTCGATTATTTTCGAGGGCGGATCGCTCCAAATGATCGACAGTTTCTCAGTTCGTATTTCGTCAAATAGTATCAAACTACATATTCTACATTATTTGAAAAGTGGCCTCTCCTGTTTGAAGTTGTAACCGAAACATGGGCTCAAAAGTTATCGATTAACTGGAGCAATCCTTTGCCGTGTAAAAATCTATGGACTGTTCGATGTTTCTATTGAATCGCATGACATTTTTCTGATTACTTCTTTATCATTAATCGATCGACCAAGAATACGAAAACTTAAGTTCATAATATTCTGATTATTTTTCATGAGCAATATCTTCTCAACGAGCAACATTCTGCTGACAGATGTTCAAAAAATGAACGAATCTTTTTCGGATGTATCACATTTGCTTATTCGGCAAATCATCATCGAGCCTTTAATTGAAATTATAAAAAAAACTTTATTATAAATTTAAGTCAAACAATAAAAGATAATCTTTTAACGCTCCTCTTGGTCCAACATTAGGACTACGTTTTATAATTCGATGTAATTCAACTTGAATTCTTGTTATTTTTGGTTCTTTTAAATTCTATTTTATAATTCATTAAAAAAAAAAGAAAATTATACAGAAATAAAAGAATTTATTTTCTAATACTTTAATAAGTTTATTACGATTTTCTTCGACAGTATCAATCGTACATCATAATCATTTTCATTACATGTTGTAAATAATTTTTTTCAATAGCTGTAATTAATTTAAAATAATTTTCATTGTTACCTTTAGACGAGAAAAACATTCGATAAGAGATAAAAACAAAACGATAAACAGAAAAAAATCGAATTATTAACTTGATTATTAATGTTCCTGATGTTGTATAAATTGATCTAATGTTAATTGTGCATCATTATTTGGTAATAATATAGTAACAGTTTCTACATAATTTTATTTTAATTCAGTTAAGATTACATAAAGAAAAAAATTATTTTTATTTTATTTTATTTAGGAAATTTAAATACAGACAAAACTCTATTAATTTTATTTCTTAAAATTTCAGGTTCTAATGAATGAAGCATAATTTTAGTTGAAAATTTTAAATCTTCACTAATTAATTGTTCATTATCAGTAAGAACATTTGTCTTTGTTCCATTAATAGGTCCCGGTTGAGCGTCATCATGAGTTGGAAGAAGTTTAACATAAGTTGTTTCTATAAAAAACTTTGAAGAAAAATGTGTATATAAAATTCTACATGAAATTGTTTTTCATTTATCCTGTTTCTCATTATTTGTAACATCATTGACATATACTCAATTATCTTGTTTATAAATAATTAAAATTTAAGTCATATTTTCAATTGAAAGAATTATTAACTCTATAATTATAGTAGAATTTTTCTTTTTTTAATAATTTAAAAAGTAATAATGTATTTCCTGTATGAAATCAAAGAATGTCCGTAGCTCTTAGAAAACATGATTTGAGTACCAATTCAGACTTAGATTGATTTTCATCCTAAATGAATTCCATAATCAGAATCTATTTCGTTAAAATAATTATTTTCCCAATAGTTCAGTCAATATCATTAGTTTGATATTTATACAAAAGCAATGTCGAAGAACAAAAAGAAAATGCAAAAAACTATTCTTTTGTCTTTCTGACATGTAAATTGATCACATAGTAAAGACGGCCATTACCGTTTTTATATAACAGAAGCATGAACACCGAAAAAGAAAAAAATATCAGATCAATGAATCACAAAAAAAAAGAGCAATAACAATAACAATTTATTAATTTTTTTTATAAATTGGTCGAAAATATACTTCTGTATCAAATGAAAATTAATTTTTATCAAAAAACAATATAGATATATTTGATTATTTGACCAAGAGAAAAATATTTATGTAAACCAATTAAATAAATTTTTCAAAAAATCAATCCTTCATCTATTTCATTTAATATACCAATACATTCAAGCCAATCAGTCAACAAACTAAAATAAAGTTAAACAAATTTCTTTTTTTATTCTTGAAAAAAATATTTACATAGATCTTTGTTGTCCAGTTTATAAGCATTGTTCAAGTAAATTTATTCTTACTAGTCGTTGAAAATAAATTTGAATCAATTGATAAAACAAATTCGTGTTTCAGTCATACGACGAATTTATACCAAATATATTAGTTTGAAGTATGAAAATATTTTATACCAAAAATGATGAAAAAAGGTAACAACTAAAGCAAACGGAAAAAATATATTTAATAAAAAGATCTCGCATGTATATTTACAGATACAGTGAGTAGATTAACTGTAATTAGATTGTTGATTAGTTCTTGCTGTTGTTCTAGTTTTTGTTCTAACTTAAAATTAAAAATATATATATACGTATATTTATTATGTTTTGTTTCCTACTTCATCTATTTTTCTCTTATATTCTTGTCGATCACAAAATCTACCAATACGTGATGCAGCAAGAGCAATACGTGTTGCAGCAAGATCAATTTGTGCCTGATTGAGTTGATTTCGTAAATGTTCATTTTCATTTTGTACAGCTATTAAATCACGAGGAAGATTGTCTGCCTAAAATCAATTAAAATGATTAATGGAAACAGACGGAACAACTAAAGGTAATTTCATTTTTTAATATCATGCATATTTTAAACGTGCATAAACGTTTACCATAATAAAATGAAAAGAAACAACAAAATTATCTAAAAATGTGTTTTATGAATTATTATGAAAGGTACAATTTCTGTCTTTATGAATTAAAAATAAATCAAATCTTTATTTCTAAAATATTTCAAACCTGCTTTTCTCGACACATCATTCAGCGTTATGCAAATGGAAATTTAAGTAATAATAAAGATATTATATAGTAATAACTCTTTTAACGCATAAGTTTTTAAATAAATACTTTTCTTTGTTTAATGATAGAGACTCATTGTGCAAAGAATGCAGCAATCGCGAATCATATTAATAGATGGCGTTCAATGCCTAGATCTAATATACTCAAGCCAACTCGTACACAATCGGTTAGGCTTCCTCAGTCGACCATTCACTCGTTGTTATTATCAAATAATGTTTAAACTTAGTCATTTATTTATTTGACTTTAAGGGTACCCCCCCTCTTTCCGGAGTTTTTGGAGAACGGCTCATCAGAAAATTTTGAAACTTTCAGGGCAGATAGATCTTGATGAGGAGAGCAAAAGTTGTCATAAACACAAAGTTCTCGAATGCTGTCTTCTGAGAGATATTTGGATCACAATGGGTAAAATTAACTCCACTTTTCGCCTCCCTTTCTCCGAGATACTACGTTCGATCGAGCTGAAACTATTTTTTACAGATACCAGACACTATTTGGGTTGGGTGCTTTTTTTGGTTTCCTTATATATTTTGTCTTTCGAAGAAAAAAGCCAAAATATCGAAGATACCCTAAAAGCGCATGTTTTTTTTGAATAGAGCTTTTTTTGTGAGAGCTACCAAAAATCACCAGAGTAATATTTTTTGAAATAAAAAAAGTACCCACCCCAATTAGTATCTAGTATATGTGAAAAAGTTTCAGCTCGATAGCTCTTACCATGCTGGAGAAACAGGGGCGAAATTGTACTTTTTTCGCAGAAAACTTGTTTTTGAGAAAAACTCAACAGAACGAAAAAAATTGCTGTTTTTACATAGAAAACGTCATACCTTTTTGATTTTTTTTCACTTTAAACCTACATTCGACTTCTCAAAATGTGTTCAATGGATAGAGGACACTTCAAAGTATATGTATCAATGAAAAACAAAAAATTGAAAAAAATTTTGATTTTCACCTTCGGAAAGGGGGGGAGCACCCTTAAAATAAATGAATTGAATATAAATTAAACAACATGGATAAACTAAGTAAATCACTTGAATTTTTAAAATTACTTTCAACAACATCAGAAACATTAATAATCAAGTTAATAATTCGATTTTTTTGTGTTTATCATTTTATTTTTATCTCTTATACATGTAATGAAAATGATTATGATGTACGATTGACAATGTCGAAGAAAATCTTAATAAATTTGTTAAAGTATTAGAAAAGAAATTCTTTTATTTTTGTATAATTTTCTTTTTTTTTAATGAATTATAAAATAGAATTTAAAAGAACCAAAATTAACAAGAATTCAAGTTGAATTACATCGAATTATAAAACGTAGTCCTAATGTTGGATCAAGAGGAGCGTTAAAAGATTATTTTTTTTTATTGGACTTAAATTTATAATAAAGTTTTTTTTTATAATTTCGATTAGAGGCTCGATGATGATTTGCCGAATAAGCAAATGTGATACATCCGAAAAAGTTTCGTTCATTTTTTGAACATCTATCAGCAGAATTTTGCTCAGTTGTTGCTCGTTGAGAAGATATTGTTCATGAAAAATAATCAGAATATTATGAACTTA